GTGAGTTTTAAGCCACCGGGTCCGGGACACGAACCGCGGTCGACTACGTGGGAGTCCAGCGACATAGCCATTACGCTAACTGCTGGTTCCCTCTTACATAGTTTTTAAATGGGTAATACAAATGGTTAATTTCTACGTTTGTGTATTTTGGCTCTCAAAAGTGAAGTATTCCCTAATAATCAGCATAATGATTCATAGGGGAAGGAACATAAGAGGCTATCTAAGATGATAGCTGAAAGTATGCCTAAAATGTTTAAGATGTCAGCACTTGAACGTGAGAGCCACAGGCTGGCATTTCTGTCTGTGTGTTAAACTGTTATGTCCCTGGTACCTAGAAAAATGCTTGGCACATAATCATGCTCATTAAATATTTTTTGAATGTATGTAGGAAGGACTAAATTAATTTGTAAGTTCGTTCTGAAAGAGAAAAAAGAGAGAAAGAGAGTTGGGGGGCACTTCCCAAAATGTCTTGACTTGTGATCCACCAGTCTCAGCCTACCCCAGATAATAGGCATTGCACGCAGCCTGTGTATTCAGCGAGATCGCTTGGTGTTCACCCAGAACTTTTCCATTTGGGTCATCTTCACAGAGTGTCATGTTTTACTGCTGAGTTACCATTTGGACCCCTGAATGAATAAAATACTTCTGCTAAGTATTTTCAGGTAGATATATTTTTGTTTTAATAAAATTTAGAATAGTTTTAACTAGACATATTATCAATAGATGCCCTCTGTTTTTCTTTTGTTCTTCTATAGCTTCATTAAACATGGCTTCTATGGATATATTTCCTATTTCTCTGGGAAATAATAATAATTATTATTTTTTAGATATTTGCTATAGGGCATATGGGTTTGCCAGAGAGAGGGAGAGTGAGAAATCGCTCCCTAGGAGGGATGGCCATGCTGTAGTCCTCTCCTCTTCTTTCCTCCTGGCATCTTAGGCATGAATACAATTGTACCTGGTGTGTTTTTATTGATCAGCACGGGAGTTTTGACCCCGCTCTGTTTCCAACCTGGACCAGTTCACCCCTTCTCAGGCAACCTGTTGGTCTCCGCTTCCAGGAGGTCGCCACATTGATGCTGAACTTAGTGCAGAAACCCAATCAGCATAGCACACTACAGCCCAGAACTCCTGGACTCAAGAGGTCCTCCTGCCTCAGCCTCCCGGCAACGGGCAACGGGGATTACAGGCACATGCCACCGTGCCTGGCATGACTGGTGTGTTTTTTAAAGCTGCTGAGTATGGAACTCGAATCATACTCTCAGCCACATGGGATCCAGTGTTTTAGCCACCATACCACTTGCTGGCCCTTTGAAATTACTATTATCCCTGGGTATTAGTAACTTTTTTTTTTTTTTTTTTGAGAGGTTTTTCGCTATAGGGCATGTGCGCTCGCCAGACAGACAGAGACAGAGACAGAAAGCGAGAAATCACCCCCTAGGGGGGATGGTCACGCCGCAATCCCTTCTCCTCCATTCTCTTCTCGGGATCTTGGGCACGCACGCACATGTGCCTGGCGTGAGTTTTAAGCCACTGGGTCCGGGACGTGAACCGCGGTTGACTACATGGGAGTCCAGCGACATAGCCATTACGCTAACTGCTGGTTCCCATTAATAACTTTTAAAAATAACCCAAACACTAAATATGAAATTGTTTGTCAAATGGGAAACATTTTCCCCATATTTTTCAGAAGAGCAAATAGGGTTTTGGAATGATCAATAGATTTAATAATCATTATCAGGTATGCAGCTGCTTAATAATATGTGAAAATATTTTAGAAGCTGTAAAATCACATAGGCATAGAATTTTTTTTTAAACTCTGCATAAAGACTGTGAAATGTGATAATCACATTGCAATTTTAGAAATATTCAGGACTGGCTAGGTGGTGCATTGGTAATACACTGCTCAGCAATGCTGCATCCATATGGAAGATCGAGGCGTTGGTTCACTGGTCAACCTGTGCATGCTGGGCAGCATGCCTGTGATCCTGACAGACTGGGGGGTATCAAGGCGTGGACCCTGTTGAGGGTGCTTGTCTTTCTCTTTTTCTTTCACTCTCATGAAAAAACAAAAAACCTGACTTATTGTATAAAACACACGGTTATATTCTTTTTTAAAAGAACTATTTCCTTAACTTTATTTATTATTATTATTGGTTTTTAAATTTGCTGTAGGACACATGTGCTCACCAGGGAGAAAAGGAAAGTGAGAAAGCAAGCTGCCAGGTCCAAGACTTGAACCATGGTTTGCCATGTGGGATCTAGTGCCTTAATCACTACACCACCTGCTGGCCCCATATATGGATATATTCTAAGACTCCCCTTTACATTGCCTTGCATGTGACTTCTATAACTTGATAGCATATAGATTGCAGTTTATTTTTTAAAAAAGGGGGATTTTTAAAAATCAAGATTTCTTTGTTTTCTGTAATATTTTATACTCATATGTTTTTCTAAATCATGGAAGGAAATAACATTCAGCATCCCTTGTTTCTGCCTTTCCACAAAAGCAAAACAGCCAGAGCGACGTAAATATGAATTCCAACTGTACCACTTACCTATTCCATAGCCCTAGACTGTTTTGAAATCTCTGAGCTTCAATTTTCTCTTTTGCAAAATGAAAATAAAATAGATAAATGTAATCTATAAATGTAAGAATATAGAACCATATGGATCTTTCATCATTGTGATAGCCTGAGTTGACAGAGGCCACAAACACATTCCAAACAAATGTTATATTAAATTTCATAATTTTAAAGCAAACAGATAAGTAGATGCATTACAATTTTATTTATTTGTTATTTAGACAGGTTATCGCTGTCATGATTCTTCTACCTCAGCCTCCCCAGGAATTGGGACTACAGATGTTCTTTTAGGGCCTCAAACCTGATTTTTCCATCCTTACTTTTTTTCTTTTCTTTTTTTTTTTTTGAGAGGTTTTTGCTGTAGGGCGCATGCGCTTGCCAGACAGACAGAGAGGGAGACAGAGAGACAGAAAGTGAGAAATCACCCCCCAGGGAGGATGGCCACTCCACAATCCCTTCTCCTCCGTTCTCCTCTTGGCATCTTGGGCACACACGCACACACGCCTAGCGTGAGTTTTTTTTAAGTCACCAGGTCTGGGACGCGAACCGGGGTCGACTACATGGGAGTCCAGCGACATAGTCATTATGCTAACTGCTGGTCCCCCATCCTTACTTTTTAATGTAGGAGAGGAAAATCTTCTGATACTATGTATGAAGAATATTTGAAAACCAAGGTGGTTGATGGGAACAGAAGATTACATGGGATAGCTATAGTAGAAATATGACCATGTGTAATGCCTGAGTGGGGTGGATTGTTGAGGCTGTAGACCTCTTAAGGAATTGAAGCTGAGCTCTCAATGTAAAGAAAGATCTATCTTGCTAATGAAATCATCTTAAAACAAACAAACAAACTACTCTCTGGCTTGGAGATGCAGCATAAAATTAGATTAACCCTAGGATTATGAATAAATAAAAGTCACAAAAATCAGAATTCTATGAATTCTTATTATATATGAATCAGGGGGACGTAAAATTGAATTCTGTTTTATACATAAGAACCAAGTTTAAAAAACTTTCCTTTTCTTAAAGAACTATTTTATTTAACTTTATTTATTTATTTTAATTTGACCAGAGAGAGACAGTAAGAGAGAGAGAGAAAGCGAGAGTAAGCCACCAGGTCCAGGACTTGAACTGCGGTCGGCCATGTGGGAGTCCAGTGCCCTTAACCACCACACCACCTGCTGACTCCCCCAAAAGTAAACTTTCAAAACTGGTTCCGAACTGGTGCAAGAAAACAGAGCAAACCGACCACCTTCCTTTAATACCACTTATACTTCCCAGCATACTTGGCACTCTGGCTAGAGGAGAGCCATGCTAAAACTTTACGAGGAATGAAAGGACAAAAAGCAGAATAAGAATGTGTGAACAGATGCGAGAGAAGGTATAAGAAACAGAATTAATATTCCAGAAACCTATATATGAAGATCAATCTGAAAGAGATGTTAGATATATTTAGAACATTTAATATTTAAAAGAAGGTAAGAATAGTATGCTATGAAAAAGGAACACAAAGAGTATCAATTTCAATAAATTCAAAATATAACCATTTGAAGTAAAAATCTCAATAGACTGGTAAAACTTCAATTTAATGATACTTAGAGGAGAGAATTGGGAGGTAGATTGGTAGTATAGTGTGTGCAGTAGAGACCGTCAATAAATTTGTTTACTTTTTCCTTCATTTTCTTCGTTCATCTACATTTTCTATTTTTGGCACATAAGATGAGAAGAATGAGTTACACTTTAATTTGAGTATATGAGAAATAGACTATTGAATTTCTTTTATAATTGGGGCAAAGAAGAAAGATCTTGTCACTGAACTAATTCATTATAAAAGTCAGTATGTATGGACTAAGAGTAGGTACACAAAATAGTTTCTGCAGCAGTTTATAATGCATTCATTTCACCTGAGGACAGAAAGAATGCTGGACGTCAGATACTTTTCTTATGAGAATTTACATTAAATAAGCCCATTTTTCATATACTGCTAGTTGACTTAAATAGTATAATTTTATTTATTTATTTTTTGCCATTGGATGTGTATGCTAGCTGTAGAGAGACAGAGAGGGAAGGTGAGAAATCACTCCCTGGGGGAATGGTCACACCACAGTCCCTTCTTCATTCTCCTCCTGGGATTTTGGGCACCCATGCATACGTCCCCGGCATTGTTTTCAAGCCACTGGGTCCAAGACTTGAACCGTGGTCAGCCATGTCGGAATCCAGCACCTTAACCTTAACTATGCCACTTGCTGGCCCCGAAAACATAATCATTTAAAAATGTGTGGTATAAGGATTAACTTTACTTTTTGTTTAAGTTTCTGTTACTTGTGAAAAATTAGTAAAAACAGGTAAACAAATATTTTCTCAAGTTCTGAAATTTATTTTTCACTTCAAAACTTTTGTTAATGTTTCCTGTAGTTTCCGAATCAGAGATTTCCCAAGAAGCTGATGACATGGCAATGGAAAAAGAGAAATATGTTGATGAGCTGAGAAAAGCGTTGGTGTCAGAAACAGGGCCAGCTGATGCATACAACTTTAATTTTTCTAAAGAGTCTTGTCACTTCTCCTTCGAGAAAAACCTGAAAGATGTTTCAGTAAGTAAAACTTTCCATAATGTTATAAGTGGTAAAATGTCAGAAACTTATTGAACAATTATGTTTAATATGTAGATAAATAGCATATTCCCAGAACAATTTGGAAATAAAAGCTTTAAAACAACTTGGTTTCCATGTTGAAACAATGCTTTAAAGTAGTTAAATACTTTATATTAATGAGTTGTAAAAATAATTATTTGAAAATATATGTAATTTTTAATGCTGTAACAAATTTTTAAAGTGTTATAGAGTTAATTACACTCATGGTTTGGAAAGCAAGATCACGTGTTTTAGGACATTGTCACAAGGTCTTATTGAAGTGAGTTTGAGGAAATTTATTTTAAGAAAGAAAACAGGGACCAGCAGTTGGCATAATGGCTATGTCGCTGGACTCCCATGTAGGCGACTGAGATTTGAGTCCTGGACCTGGTGGCTTAAAGTCATGCCGGGCATGTATGTATGTGTGCCCAAGATCCTGGAAGGAGAGTGGAGAAGGGACTGTGACATGGCCATACCCCCTGGGGGATGATTTCTTGCTTTCTGTCTCCTTGTAGCTCTCTCTCTTTCTACTGAGCTCACGTGCCCTATAGCAAAAAAAAAAAAAAAAAAAGCCCAAAAAACAAAAAACCTCCAAAAAAAAAGAGAAAACAATGGGGACCAGCAGTTAGTGTAATGGCTATGTCGCTGGACTCCCATGTAGTTGATCACGGTTCGTGTCCTGGACCCAATAGCTTAAACTCAAGCCGGGTGCTTGTGCGTATGTGCCCAAGATCCCAAGAGGAGAATGGAGAAGGGATTGCGGTGTGGCCATCCCCCCCTAGGGGGTGATTTCTTGCTTTCTGTCTCTCTGTCTCTCTGTCTGGCGAGCGCACATGCCCTATAGCAAAAACCTCTCCAAAAAAAAAAAGAGAGAGAAAGCAATGTATTTAGAATATTAAATAATTTTGACTTGTGATGCCTTATTAGAATGTATTTGAAATTATAAAATAATAATAGTTGTGAAGTATGACATATACCTTGGATTTAATGATAGTTCATTTATTCTTCAGGCTTAGAAATATTAAAATATAAAGAAATAACTTCCAGCCAAACTTTCCAAGCTTGCATGCTTTACCAACAAGAGTACCCCCCACTCATCCTGCTCAGTTTCTGCATCAATTCAAATGAAAGCGGGTGGCTTATTTATTAAAAGTCTCACATTTAATATCTGTATGATTTACCTAAGTTGGTTAGATAATGAATTTGTTTTTTGCCAGTGATTTTTCTGTCAGATATGAGATTTACAGTATAAGAAATAGAAGGAAACCTTTACTACATTAAGTGTACAACAGTTATTGAGAATTTGTTTTAGAACTCAAATGAGTTTTAAAAATTCTTTTGAAACAACTTTTTTAATGTAGAATGATTAAGGAATTTCAACACTAGAAAAATATTTGAAGAAATAAGTGGAATGATTTCTAAAAATTGTATTCATTTATTTTTTTCCATGAAAGAGAGAGAGAGAGCATCCCCGGAAGGGTCTCACACTGTGACCCACCCTCAGTCTCAGCCTGAACTATGAAGATGCACATGTCCAGTGCATTCAGGGAGCTCCCAGCATGTGAATCAAGACCTTTCCCATGCAGGTTCAGTTGCATTACTAGTGCACCAATTCTCTGAAAATTATTATTTAAAATATGTATTATCATACAGAGAACAATTCAGAGAGACTGGCATTAGTAATTTCTTTTTAGAAGATACATACTTTGGGAACCAGCAGTTAGCATAATGGCTATGTCACTGGACTCCCACGTAGTCGACCGCGGTTCGCGTCCCGGACCCAGTGGCTTAAAACTCAAGCCAGGCATGTGTGCGTGCGTGCCCAAGATCCCGAGAGGAGAATGGAGGAGAAGGGATTGTGGCGTGACCATCCCCTCTGGGGGGTGATTTCTCGCTTTCTGTCTCTCTGTCTCTCTCTGTCTGTCTGGCGAGCTCATGTGCCCTATAGCAAAAAAAAACCTCTCCCCCCCCCAAAAAAAAAGAAGATGCATACTTTTTCTTACTAGTTATTAATTTATATAAATCTTCAATAAACCGAGTTTCTTTAAATGCAAATTTAAAAGAGGAGAAGTAAGAAGTTTTGAACTGGCTACTAAAATTTTGTTATTTTTCATAAGTGTTCTTTCTAGCTCAAACTGAATCAGATGATACTACATAAATTTCCAGTGTTTCTTTTAATATTTTGCAGAAGATCATTATTAAATCAGTAGTCATACCATTTCCCATTCAGCAAGCATTTATATGTAATAAATAGCATTATTTCATGTGGTCCAGTTTCTGGTTTTCATCTCTATACACTGATACATAACAAATTCATGTAAATGAAGTACCTTTTGGAAAACTGAAAGGCTGTTGGTATCTTCAACATTATGAAAGGGGGAAGGGAATGCTTGGTATAGTCAACATGGATGAGTGTTAGCCATGGATTGGCAATACATCTGGTTTTGTTGCTTCAGTGAAGAAAGAACTCCAAATCCTCATGACTCATGTCTTTTATAACTGGCTTGGCATGTATTGGCATCAAAGATTGTGTCCATAATCCTGAAAAATTTCTTGCTTACAAACCTGAAATGAAACTTTACCAAAGACAAAGCTTTAAATTACTACTTTTTCAATAGATTTTCTTTTTTTTTTCCCGGAGAGGTTTTTGCTATAGGGCGCACGCGCTCGCCAGACGGACAGAGAGACAGAGAAACAGAAAGCGAAAAATCACCCCCCAGGGGGGATGGCCACAGTCCCTTCTCTGGGGATCTTGGGCACGCACGCACATGCGCCTGGCATGAGTTTAAGCCACTGGGTCTGGGACTCGAACCGCAGTCAACTACGTGGGAGTCCAGTGACATAGCTATTACGCTAACTGCTGGTCCCTCAATAGATTTTCTTTCTTTTTTTTTTTTTTTTTGGAGAGGATGTTTTTGCTATAGGGCGCGTGCGCTCGCCAGACAGACAGAGAGAGACAGAGAGATAGAAAGCAGGAAATCACCCCCCAGGGGGGATGGCCACGCTGCAATCCCTTCTCCTCCATTCTCCTCTTGGGATCTTGGGCACGCACGCACATGCGCCCGGCGTGAGCTTAAGCCACCGGGTCCGGGACTCGAACTGCGGTCGACTACGTGGGAGTACAGCGACATAGCCATTACGCTAACTGCTGGTCCCTCAATAGATTTTCTTAAGAAGTGGAAACAGCATAAGATTCTTAGTAATGTAGAAGTGTGTTGGTTCCCTAAAGAATACACCATAAAGCATTATATTGTAGTTTAGGTAGCTGTTGTCTTATTTATTAATTAATTTGTTTGTTTATGTGAAAAGAAATGATGCTTTCAGAACAATTTAATAAGTAGGAGTTTATTCATGGCTTTGCTTACTTGGGAGATATTTTGGGATATTTAACTGAGATAAAATATTCAGTACTGTGCTCAGCTTTATGAATGTAGCTGAAAAATCACAAGTTCATTTGGCCAAACTATGGGAACCTTCTAGTAATCAGGGCCAGCTTCTGCAAACTGATTTTAGAGCAACAATATCTTGTAAATTTATCTTCTGGCAGTAAGAAGAATGAAACTAGATTGAATTTAGAAAGTCATAATAAATCTTGTTATTTCACTACACAAGGTTACTCCTCCATGACAAAGAATATTCTGTGAGTTCTAAGCATACTTACCACCAGACTCACTTGAGAGTCAAGATTTTTAGGTATTTGTTGACATGAACTGAAGATAGTGTACGTATTTAACTGTGTGTATTTATGGTTATTGAACAATTTGAACATTGCAGAGTCAGGAGTTTTAAAAAATAATTTCTTATTGACATATAATTGTACATTTAAACATATACAATATGGTTTATTGAAGCATGCATGCAGTGCTGACAATCAAAGATATTACCATATATATTTTTTCCAACAGAAGACTTTACATTCTTGTGTCTGTTAAATGTTTTTTACCCCCAGCAACTGCTGTCTACACCCTACTATCCACTCCTTTCATATACAGTTTCTGGTGTTTACACTTGTCCTCCATGTTATTATATCATTGAATCTTTCAATATCTGCCATAAAGTGCAGACGTTTGGTCTATGTTGAGTGGAGATATACAATGTTATTCTTTCTCATTTCACTTAGCATTAAATCTCCTATATTCACCCACTTTGTCAAATGACAGGGTCATTGACTTTATGGCTGAGTAGTATTCCATAATATTTATGTACTGCCTTTTTTTCAATTCAGTTTTCAGGTTTTATACACATTGATTGATTACATGTCTTAGCAATTAAGAATGATACTGTAATTAACATGAATGTGCAAGTGTCTTTCCAACAGTTTTTCTGTCCTTTGGGTAAATTCCAAGGAGTGGGATTACAGTGTTATATGGTAGTTTTATGTGTAAGTATTTTTTTTTATCTTTTTTTTAATGAACTAACTCTATTCCACACCTTGGAAGATAGTATAGCTCTCCTGCTAGCTTCGGATGTGGGTTGAGTGAGAGGTCCAATTATTTTTTTCCAGTTTTGCTATATGGCACGTGCACTCACAGGAGAGAGAGACAGAGAGAGAGAGAGAGAAAGAAAGAAAGCACACACACACACCCGACTCCCTACAACCCACAAGAAGAATGGCCATGCTGTAGTCCGTTCTCTATTCCCCTTTTTGGGCATGTATGCCTATACCTCTTGTATGCTATTCTTTTTTCAGGGGGAGGGTGGGGGGAACTTTTTGCTATGTGGCATGTGCACTCGCCAGAAAGACAGAGAGAGACAGAGAGACAGAACGCGAGAAATCACCCCTTGGGGGGATGGCCACGCTGCAATCCCTTTTCCTCCATTCTCCTTTAGGGATCTAGGGCATGCATGCACACGCGCCCAGTGTTAGTTTAAGTCACCGGGTCTGGGACTCAAACTGCAGTTGACTACATGGGAGTCCAGCGACATAGCCATTATGCCATCTGCTGGTCCCTGGTATGCTT